GGGGGGGGGGCGCATGCTTTCGGTTGTGGGAGGAAACCTCCAGGCAGAGAGCAGAGCAAGTACAGATTCTTGTTTCTTTTATTTAAAATTTTACTAGAGGCCTGGTGCATGGATTTGTGCACCAGTGGGGTCCCTCAGCCTGGCCTGTGCCCTCTCACAATCTGGGACCCCTCAGGGGATGATGAAAAGCCAGTTTCGGCCTGATCCCTGCAGGCCAGGCCGAGGCACCTCACCGGTGCATGAATCTGTGCGCCAGGCCTCTAGTATGCAAATAAGATCTTTGGTTAATCTCTTTCCGCCCTCTCCCTTCCTCCCTCCCCTCTGAGATTCATCAGTCTGTTCCATTTTCCATGCCTGTGCATTGAGTGTCTGCCCCCTGGTGGTCATTGAGCATCATAGCTACTGGCCAGTCATTTAGGCTTTTATATATATAGATAGATTGATTTCAGAGAGGAAGGAAGAGGGAGAGAGATAGAAACATCAATGACAAGCAGGAATCATTGACTGGCTGCCTCCTGTATGCCCGCACTGGGGATCAAGCCCTCAATCTGAGCATGTGCCCTGACTGGGAATTGAACCCATGACCTTCTGGTTCATAGGTTGACACTCAACCACTGAGCCATGCCGCTCAGGCCAAATCCCTTGTTTTTCAAAGAAAACAAGCATTCTGGACAAATTGAAATCCATCGGGTGAATAATGTGACCTTAATTTTTTTTAAAAAAAGTATAGCTAATGTAATGTCTAAAAACAAAACCCCTGATCTTCCACATGAGGCAAATCTGACACCCCTGTGGCTGAGTGAAGTTATAAGCATGGGTTTTGCATAGTTAGGTGACTGGGAAAAACTGAGTGTAATGTTTGAGAGGCTCCTGCTACTTTAATTTTATGCCCCAGGGAGTAGAGATTCCAGGCTTCCAGTGGAAACAAGTTTGAATGCTCTGCTGTGAGGCTGTTGAAGTATAATTTAGCATTTCTTGTTCACTTACTTGGAGAGTGCTTTAATAGTCACTATGTACCACACTTAATGATATAGCAAATATAGCAGCCCTTAGGAAGAGCACTAGGACATTGCTGCTCGTCTAGAGAGGCCTTTTGGGAGCTTTCTTAGTGACTGTTGTTTTTTAATTAATCACCGAGTTTAGTGACTGCCCCATTTTCGCTCTAATTTTTAATTTCTCTTGGAATTTAGTCACAGAAAAAAGGACAGCAATCCCAGTTCCTGCAAAGCCGTAACCTAAAATGCATAGCCTTATGTGAAGGTAAGTTGTGGTTCTTGCAAGCCACGTAGCAGTCACTCTGTCATATCTGCATTTAGGAATGGGAATGTATTAACCCTTTTCGGTCCAACCTCGAGGCTGACTCAACAGACCAGGCGCTAGGGGCAGGACCAATGTCGAGCAATAAGAACATTAAAAAGCTCAACATTCAATCCCATCAATTAATTTGGACCAGACTGTTTGAATTCCAAAAATAACATTGGACCACAAAGGGTTAACGGAATGCTCGTAGCTGAGTAGCGAAAGCATTATTCCTGGGGGCGTCTCTAAGGGCACAGAGGGAACACGGCTACCATAGAGGTCGGAAGTATCAGAGCGAAGGGGCAGGGTTGGCAGAATTCGGACGGTGCTGCATTATTCCCGGCGGGCACCGCAGCACGGCCGCTACAGCTGCCTGACCCGATCGCTGATCCCTGTGTGAAGGTGCCGCCTTCTCCGTTAGTTGGCTTTGAATGTGTGACATGATGAACAACTGTGAAGACAGACTGAGCACTGAGGAGACAGTCCGCTAGGCCTTTCTGTTCCTGTACTGCACTTGTCTTTCTGTTCTGAACTTGGGACAGAGAAGTGACTGCAGGCAGTTTGCATGACCATCTACTTTTCTCTGTTCTTGATGGAAAAGCTGACGGGGGGTGAGAGCTCACTCTTGTGTTGACGGTTCTGGCTGCCGGGAGCTGTTTGGTAGGTTCGGGCCATTTGCTGGTTCTCTGGGACCCTGGCCGCTGCCTGCACAGTCCAGGCAGCCAGGCCCCGCGTCCTGCAGATGGCGCACCAGCCAGCGCCCACCTGCTGCCACCCAACGCCTGGTAGTGCGGAGTGGCCTCTCAGTTCTTGTTTACATTTCTCCATCACGAACGATGTTAACCGTCTTTCATGGGTTAATTGTGCACGTACTTTTGCGTTGGGGTTCCTAAGGGGAGGGATGTGGTAACTTCGAATAAAATCCTTCTTTAACGTGACTTTTTGCCGACAGTGATCACCTCGCCGGACCTGCACAGACACGGGGAGATCTGGGTCGTCCCGAACACCGAGCACGTCTGCACCCGGTTCTTCTTCGTGTAAGTGTCACGGCGCCCACCTGGGCCACCGTCCTCTGTCGGGGAGGTCGCGGTGACTGCTTCTGCCGCCAGTGTGTAACACACGCCATCTCTGTCAACTGCGTTATTCTATTTTAATAAGCTCTAAGAAAACAGTGATGTTTAAATGCTGTTAACCTGGGAGAATTGAAGAAAAATATCTTTTTAGCCATCTATTTGTGTTTATGTATGTGCACATATGTGTACATGTGTGTATGTATATGTGGCTATATGTATACATATACACAGATGTCATGTGTAGATATAGACAGGCACATACACAGACATATGCATTCTTTATTTCTATGTACTTACAAATATGAGGGCGTGGAATGAAAACTATAAACAGCTGGCTTACATCCCACAGAATGCAGGTGGCCGCCTGGGCACAGTGTTGTAGTCTTTCCTAAGAGCTGAGCTGGAGTAGAGCAGCGTTCCTGTTCACCCCGAGTGAACATGAGCGAGGTGGAGCTGCTGATTGTCCCCCCGACACACACGGTCTCCTCGTCCCCGTCCGTCCGGCGAGGGCTCGGGGCGGGAGAGCATCCCTGGTGGACGTGTCTGTGGTCGCTGAGAAGGAAGCTGGGAGAGGCACTGGCTTGTTCCTCCGGAGCCGGGTCCGAGTGGCTGCACCGAGACGGCGTCAGGAGAGCGCAGCCCTGTGCCCGGCCTGCCGTCCGCGGCCCGTCGGCGGGCTGGCACCGGGTGGCACGGCTCCCGCTCTCCTGCAAATGATGTTGCTACTTGGGACCCTCCCGTTGTCCTGTGCAGGAACACTGAATGCTAGTGAGTGGGTGCCATGAGCAGAGACCCATGTTGTCTCCATGTTAATGGAGAGGGTGGACACATCGGGTTCCTCACGGGGACTTGGCGAGAGCGGGCCGTCCGTCCGTCCACAGTGGGTGTCCTCCTGTTGCTGGTGGAAAACTGCTGTCGCTTCTGGGTTCCAGACTTAGGGAGACGGACGACTGACCTGTGCCCCCTGAGGCTTGTGACAGCTGCGACACCAGGTCTATAATAGAGGTTCAAAAGTCTCTGTCCACGAGATTTCCTCTCGTTCCCCAGGGAGTTCCCGGCAGCTACGTTCCATCTGTCCCCTTATTTTCTCTCTCCTGGCTTTTGAAGCAAATTGGTTGATTCTCCAATTAAAATGTTCATAATCTTTTTAGACGCCTGGGAACATTTGCCATTTCTGTTTCCTCTTAGATGCTTTCATTTTCCTTCTTCACAAAACCCCAGTCAGAGTCTCACTTCCCTGTGGAGATCTTGCTCTGTTTCTTTTTAAAACGGTGTTGCTTTCTGGACTTGAACTTCCCATGAGCAACCCAGTATTTGTCTGCAGTGATAAGGAGTAGCCACCCAGGGCTGTGTCTGCCTGGAGGCCGGTGCCCCGGTGCCACCATAACCGTGTGTCTGGCTCTGCCAGTCCACCAAGGCGGGGTCGCCGTTTGCCCTTGAGTGTTCGGTCTGCTTCAGAGTTTAAGGCACTGACTGCTTTGGGCCAGTTTCACTCTCGAGCTGTTGGGCTACCTTCATGCTTCACTGACAGTGGGAAAGTGGGCATTTTTCTTAATACTTTCCATCTCAGCCTCGCTCTTCTCTCCGCTCTCCCTCCCCCTGGGCTCTGTGGGGGTGGACAGTGCAGCACAGGGAATACCGTCCATCTATCGGGATCACTGTGTATGGGCCAGGCAGGTACTGGAAATAGCCGGGGCGGGGGGCGGAGGGACGGACTTTGTAAAGTACATGACTGTCTGAAACCAATAGAAAATAATATTGAATGTCAACTGAAAAGTAAAATTAAAAATACAAACAAAATGAGCAATATCACCTCCTGCAGACTGGAGCCTATAAGATAAAATCTCCTGAATTCATCCCCGAGGCGGCCACAGGCAGCCGGTGTCAGGTGTCAGTACCTGTCAGTAGAGGTGAGGGTTAGACAAGCGACTGCAGTGGATGGTGGGAAAAGGGAACAGGTTTATATGACAGACAAATCTTAACCAAAGGCCAGCTTTCATCTAGAGCAGTGGTTCTCAACCTTCCTAATGCCGCGACCCTTTAATACATTTCCTCATGTTGTGTTGACCCCCAACGATAAAATTATTTCCATTGCTACTTCATAACTAATTTTGCTACTGTTATGAATCGTCATGTAAATATCTAATATGCAGGATGTATTTTCATTGTTACAAATTGAACATAATTAAAGCATAGTGATTAATCACAAAAACAATATGCAATTATATATGTTTTCCAATGGTCTTAGGCGACCCCTGTGAAAGGGTCGTTTGACCCCCAAATCGCGACCCACAGGTTGAGAACCACTGCTCTAGAGGAAGTGCAGATGGTCGTATGAATACTCGATACCTTTTTCTTTTTTTTCTTTTCTTTTTTTTTTTAAATATATTCCATTGACTTTCCACAGAGGGGAAGGGAGAGAGATAGAGAGTTAGAAACATCGATGAGAGAGAAACATCGATCAGCTGCCTCCTGCACATTGCCCACTGGGGATGTGCCGGCAACCCAGGTACATGCCCTTGACCGGAATCGAACCTGGGACCTTTCAGTCCACAGGCTGACGCTTTATCCACTGAGCCAAACCGGTTTTGGCACTCGGTACCTTTTTCAAATGGCGTCCAAAGCAGGGAGGACGCAGTAGGTGTGCTGACTACCCAAAGCACCATGGAGCTAGGACAGACGTGTGCATATTAGGGAATTCACAGTAGAGACGCAAGTGGGCTGGTATTTGACATCAGGAAGCCATCAAGGACCAGAGCATCCTGGTCGGCGTGGCTCAGTGGTTGCTCGTGGGCCTATGAACCAGGAGGTCACGGTTTGATTCCCACTCAGGGCACATGCCCAGGTTGCAGGCTCGATCCCTAGTAGGGGGCAGGCACGAGGCAGCCCATCGGTGTTGGCATTTCCCTCCCATGGATGTTTCTATCTCTTTAAAAAAAAACTTTCCCTTGAAGTCAGTGCCTTAGTGCCACCAGTCATCACATGTCTGAGCTTTCCCTTCCTTTCCTCTCTCTCTCTAAAAACCAGTAAAAACATATTAAAAAGAAAGAGGAAGAACCAAAACAGTTCTCAGACCTTCCCCTGTTCCCACTTCGCTCACAGACCGTGTCTTCCTGGTGTCTGGTTTGTTCCCTTTCCGTCATTCTCCGCTGTCTTCCATAGTCTGAGTCCTGGCGGCGCTGGCCAGGCTGGCTTGGTCAGACCGCACTGTCTCCAGTGGGCAGGTCGCCTCCCCGGCCTGGGCTCAGATTTCTGGGTGCTTAGCTGACCTGCAGCCCAGTGGGGAGCCAGGATTTATTCAGAAACCAGGATGACAGACTTTCTGCCCAGTAGAATATGCATCTTTACCTACTCTTCCACAGAGCACCTGATGAGATTTCCACACCTCTAAGGCATCTCCCTTTACACATTCTCTGGTTCTTCACAGGGAACGTACTGCTTGATCTGAGGAAGTATTTATAGCTGGCTATATGCCACATATGCCATTCTTTTCCTTGCAGTCATATTTCAGCATGGAGGGTCCTGTATTTACATATATATATGTATATATATTCCTACATATATGTGTGTGCACACACTTGTGTGGTCACAATTAGCAGTGTTGGCGGGCACCCTTGAGTCAGTGCTGGGGAGTTTGAACCCGACACCGATGGCTGCCCTGGGTGCTGGAGCCGTGGGTTAGGGGGGCCCCGAGTTCCCATTGCTGGGTCATCTGCTCCATTTCCCTGTGTTGTGCTGTTTCGGGGGGATTTGTGTGTGGCGAGGGAAAGACATGAATCTCTGAGGCCGGGCCTACCTGGTTATCTGTTGGGAAGCACTGAGCGCTTCTCTACAGCTTCCGTCTTGAAGTCATTCCCATGAAGTAAAATTAATGCATTGCCTATTCTGCTCTGAATATTATCATGGAAGTTTAGAAAGTCATTCTTGGGAAATTGTTATTGCCCCAGTAAGTTTATGTGCGGAGATGAATGATCATCTAGGATGTCGTTATGTCTTTCTAAAGGCCTCGGTAATTGCTGTCTTTCAGCCGGCATTGTCACTGCGGTGGCTTGGCTAAGCTTAGCGCGCACACACACACACACACACACACACACACACATGCGTTCTTACGGGAAGGGGCACATAAATGAGAATCTGTTATCTCAGACCCATGCACCCACCGGTGATAAGACGAAATGCTTCACTGGTCACCGCGGAGGAGTAATTAGAGGGGGGCTTGGAGCGCACGGCCGCAATGGGGCGGTTTCTTAGGGCCCCTGGTGAGGAAGTGAGCGAAGCAGGAGAAGCCAGGGTCTGAGGAGCATGAACTTGACCCGGGCTTCATGAACCGCTGTGGGGATGTCTGCACAGAGAGCTCCCTGCAGCTCAGGCAGGCTTTTGGGGGGATTGCAGTTAAAACGTCACAGGAAGGAAGGGGCGAGGGCGAGGCATCATCGGGTGTGGAGTAGCACAAGCTCCTCTGTGGTTCCCGGTGCACAGGCATCATTCGAATACAGCTGAGAACTCACTGTCTCTCGCTGTTGCAAACCCTGGGCTGTCTTCTCGGTAGCAAACAGCCTTTCTCAGCTGTTGGAAATGCTTTCTGAATTTCCTGGAACGTTTCCCCTTTGTTCACGTTTCATGTTTCTGCTTGTGCCTTAGCTATGAAGATGGCCAAGTGGGAGATGCAAATATTAACACGCAAGAAGGAGGCATCCACAAGGAGATCCTTCGCGTAATCGGTAACCAGACCGCGACCGGTTGAAGGACCACCATCTCGTTAACGGGGTCTTGAAAGCCTTCCTCGGGTTCAAAGCTGGATTTTGAACTGAAGAAGATGATGAAATAATTTATTGTTATTATAAACAAAATTAATCCTTTGAATACTGATTTTTTTCTTAGTATTTCTAAGTATCTCATTAAATACCTAAAACGGTATGAAATTTATCAATTGTAGGGTTATGGAATCTAGGAATAAACTTAACAACAGCACTTAAACTGAAGTTTGGGTTGCTCACACAATAAACAGATTGAAAAAGCAGTTTTGTGCTGATATTTTTATATTAAACTCTTTAATTGGAAGTTTGGTATTATATACCAACACGTTAGGTTACCAAAATCACATTGAGAACGTTTTATAATGATGTCTAAATCTCTAAGATACTTTGCAATAAGTAAAATGTTCGCACATTCTGACGTGCTATA